GCCCACTGGGTCCGTCTGAGGCAGTGCCATCCCATCCAGGACCAAAGATGGAAAAACCTTGATACTGGAAGGCCCAAGTACCCAAAGCCACTCAGTCTTGCTTGGGTTGAGTCGAAGCCCATTGCACCCCGTCCAGGCCCCTACAGCCTCCAGGCACTGGGACAGAACATCCACAGCATCACTCAGGCAGGGTGGGGTGGAGATATAAAGCATACTGATGATACCTCACTCCAAACCATCAGATCACCTCACCCAGCGGCCTCATGTCGACGTTAAATAAGAGGGTAGAGAGGCCTGAGTCCTGCAGCATCCCACAAAGTAAGGGCTATGGGCAGTCCTCTCCCTCCCTATCAACACTGATTGGAACTGACCCCAGAGGAAAGAGGAGAATCAGCACAACACAGTGCCACCCACCCCCACTCCCAAAGCCAGTCCAGAAGGATACCATGATTGATGGTATCAAAGGGTGCTGAGAGGTCAAGAAGAGCAAGGATGGATGCACCACCTCCATCCTGCTCCCACCAGAGGTCATCCAAAAGCGCGATCAATGCTGTCTCACGCCCATACCCTGGCAGCAGATTGCAGTTCCCTCAAAAAAAATTCAGTATCTCATCCATAAACAAGGGAGTTGGTGGCATACAGTCCATAAACAGAATCCAAACAACCATGGCCCCACCCAAAATAGCAACAGTATCCTCCAAAATGGCAGATCCAGAAGAGCCTGGTTTGTACACTTTACACAGCAGGCCAACAATGCCTGGTTAGAGCTGCTAAATCAAGTTCATGCAGATCTAATCCAGTGGAGCTTTTTCCTTTGTGTGAATGAACCACCCTGTCTTCATTTACTTACTCACTCTTTGGATTTATATTTGTATCCTTCCTTTTCTTCAAGAGCTCCCATTTTTTCCCCACAAGCACCATCCTGTGAGGTAGGTAGGACTGAGAGAACCCAACTGGTTCAAAAACACTCACTGAGCTTCCATGGCTGATTTCCAGTGGAGGGATGGTGAGCTAAACATTATCTCTGGGAAGTGCAGAGATGACAACAGTGGCAAAGACTAAGGAACTGGCAACAGATTAGTTCTTTGGAACCCCAGACAAGGAGAGGACAGGAGATCGCCTACATGTGCTCCAGACAGTAGCCTTCTGCGGGTTTGAGTGCCAGGAGACAAAGGGTTCAATCATCAAGCTCACAACCACAGCCTAGCCTTTTAAAGGACACTAAGTTTGGTAAACTCACATCTAATCACTTTTGGAAATTGCATATCTAACTATCTTAAAGCTATTAAAGATCTTCGGAACAAGAAGTTTGAAAAACCACCTGGTGAGTCTATCCTCATTTCTGAACAAAAGAAAAATTAACTATAAGAACTTACAGAATTTGAAATAAATGACAAAAAGCGAAATAATATTTTGAACCAAGAAAGTTATAAACGAATTAAGGCTCCAGACAAATCTGGAATATTGAAACTTTTACTATAAGATTTTGGAACTAACTATATAAAATAAACAGCTTTTCGTGGGAACCAAAATTATTTTGTCTACTGTAAGTCATAACAGAGATTAGAGCTTTATTATTTAAATTGGACACTAGAGGGGACTAAAGATTCCAGGCAAAAAGAAATAAAAAATCTTGCCTTTGGTTTTGATTAGGTTTGGGATTTATAAAATGACACAAAACACTGTAACAGTTGAAATATTAAAGATTTTTGAAGAATGGGGCCAGAAATTAGTAGCCAGAGTATCAACAATATCAGTAATGATGTCTGCTTCTATGATAGACTATGTCTAAAGGATGTTAATGACGGAATGACAGATGTGAAACAAATCTTGCTTGATG